TACCCATGTGCAGAAACCCCAGAGGACAGTCTCCACTAATCAGGGATGAAAACATTCGAAATTTTTTTGGTCTTTTTCTAGAACAATTCGATCAAAGTGTCGCAGGACTTCCCGTCCAACCAATAGCATCTTGCCCTCCAAGCGTAGGTAAAAGTCCTAATCCTTCCTCGGTAGATGTTTCCTCGCAATTTCAAGCTGAAAAAAAAGTGAAAATGGCGTGTACCATACAAGCGTTGAAGGAAAGGCGTGGAAATAAAATTTGCACCATTTCAGAGCTCTATAAGAGCTCGTGAAACCCTGTAAAATTGCACTTTATTCAAACGGGAACTTGGTATACCCACCACAAGACTTCCTTTCCCGATCTATTCATTGAATTGAAAGCAGTACCGTCAGGAATCCGTATCTTTTCCTTCCACAAGTTCATTTCCATAGACTCCAGTTGACAGTAATTAATCTACTACAGTTACGAACAAATCAAAAGTACTTCAGGCTGGTCGCGGTCTGTGGGAGGGAACAGATGTTGAGTTTCGTGGAGCGGCTTTTCCAATTGGAGGAGACGCGACCATCGATGGTCTTGTTACCATTCCAAGTGAGTCCATCTCCTGATGTTTTTTGACTTTTATCTAGTTTGACAAGCTTCTTTATTCTATTTTTGTTTTTTGGTGTTGTTTTTCAGTGCTTTCAGGATTCAGGCTTAGAGATTCCAGCTGAACATTAATTAAGCGTTAGCGTACCGAATTACATGAATTCCTTGGATGGTAGCGAATCTGCTTCGATTCTGGTAGAAATGAACGGGCAAAATAAATAGTTCTCTTTTCTGTTGGGTTTATCATAGAAGCATAATTATTTTTACGAAGTCTCACTAATTTCAGACATTCTCCTGGAATTTAACGAAGAGTTGGCAGGCGTTTCTCATGGCATGGGAAAACGAGACCGTCTTCCGGACTATCAACTGAATGTTGCTGAGTCAAACACTGAAACCGAAAATCTTCCAGAACAAGTACATTGCAGGACATTTGGTTTTTTTTCCAACTGAAAGTGCGGCTTTTTAGTCTTTCCGGGAAGTACAGTAGAGTTTACTGCAAGGAACCTTGATACTGGAAAAAAGTAGTCAGGGCGCCACCACGTCCCATGCGCAACGGATATTCTTTGTTCAACACGTTCCGATTCGACACCAGTTTCATGCGGTTTTCACGTGTGGCTAATTTTTCTGAAATGCGTCTCTAACTTTCCATCACTGAAAATCACGGGGGTGTGCGATGAAGTTTCAGAAATGATAAGATCTGGAAAACCACAGGCTGTGAGGAGAAGTGGGAATATGGCAAATCTCAGAAGTATTAATATATAAATATTAGGTTGTTCGAAAAGTCCTGCGACACTTTGATTGAATTGTTCTAGAAAAAGACCAAAAATCATTTTGGATGTTTTTATCCCTGATTAGTGGAGTGTGTCCCCTGGGGTTTCTGCACATGGGTATATCATGACTTTGTGGAAGTTTTCAAAGCTTAAAAGTCCCGCAGAGATCGAGGTACTTTTCGACCTATCCCATATTATGTTCCTGTAGGGCAACTCCGCCGTAATCGAGGAAGCTAACACTTACGTTGTCTTGAGGAAGGAGATCGCTTGCCATGAAAGAGGGTAGCTGTTGCATCAGCGCTTCCAGGCTGGACTTATTTAACTCGTAGTTAGGCAATGTGTAGGTCGCCCACCAGCACAGAATGACGACCCTTTACTCAAGCTTCTTGAGCCGCAGCCGAAGGTAACCACCAGTAAGTTGGCAACCTCTCTAGGCTCCACCTGCCTGACAACTTCCGTGCTTCTCCGCAATCTCGTTATCGGAAAAATTCTATGTGAAGGATGCCTCATGAGTTGGACCCGTCTGACAAGTCATACCGAATGACCGCATGTGGGAATCAGGCCACGTCAAAAAATCATGAATTTTTTCAAGAATTGCGATCGTTACCCCAGGTTATTCAGCAAAGTTAGCGGCCTCTAATTATCACCTCTTTTGGTCCCTATTGCATCCTTTGAAGAGCAAAAAGCCCGAAAATCGACCTCAACTCGAGAATGAGGTCCACCTCTTCTTTTTATCACAGTTGCCGTAGTTCTATGAGAATGGAAATGAGAAGCTGTGCATAAGAAAGGCACTATCCTATAGTCATAACTATGGTTACCTTGTGGATTGGAGATGTCTTTGGGTGACAGAAAATTTAGTGCGAAAAATTTGGTCCAAAGTGTCGCAGGACTTTTCGAACAACCTAATAATAATGTAATGTAAGTGTGTGGAACGCGGGTAGAATGAAAAGCAGTAAAAAAACTTTTTCAAAAAGCCAGCGGCGTAGCCACATTACTCGCGCTAGCGACTAGATAACGGCCCTTTCACGTGAAGGTTTTTAAAACTATTTTGTGTGTCTGCAATGGTACGCGTCACTCGGCCATATAGGTGTGTTGCGGTTCGTGGAACAATGACCCTACTAGCTCTCCAACACGACTAATTGGCTGCTCACGAGCCCGTGGCTCACCAACGGCCCCCTCTGTGTCCACTTCTTCCTGAAGGCTAATGCCGCATTCACCCGATGCGCCGTGTGCCACCCGCTTCTCGGGGCTGCTGCCTGCTTCAGCCCCGATTACTGGCTTCAAACGTCATCGCCTAATCATGCCTTTCTCTGACGTAGCCACAATAAGATGCACAGGAAGATCGCTCAATAAGACCGCACATTTTCCTACCACCATAGGCAGCGGCAGCGCACGCACGTAACGAAGATGAAATTTTCAAAAATTGGATCTTTGGTTGGGACTTATGACCATGCCATACGATGTTCACTGCACCACCCTAACTCAGCTTGACACATGGCTATCAGCTACTTACTACCTAGCTCCTTAGCAGGCGTCAAACACATCATTTCGAAAAAAGTGATTTGATAATTTACGTCAACTGGGGAATTGAATCGAGATTATTTTCTTTTCGTCGTAGTCATCGGGATACTGGGATAATAGAACCCAGAAGCTGTCCAATAAATGCACACTGCCAGGTACTTGTGGCAATTTCTCTGCTGATTGAAGTTTCAGATCAGCAAAGAATACCAGTTGAGAGCTACCTTCCAAATGTTCCACTGTTTTTTTTCCAACCTAATAACTATAAGAACTACATGTGAAACGTGGAATTCTAGGAAAATCTAACATTGTGCAGATACTATTGACACATCGCTGTGTGTCACGCGCTTACAACGAAAATAAGATCTATGTATGACTTGTAGGAGGGTGGCTAGGTAGGAGGTGACGGGATGTGTTGAAGCATTATTCACTACGTTGAAAAAAGCTCTGTCCACTTACTCATGGGGGATAAGATCACAACTCTGTAGAAAATCAATATGTTGATTTTGCCTATAGGTTAGCCAGTTTTGGAAAAAAAAACGAATAGCTTCGCAAAATCACTTCCCAGGTTGCGCGGTTGTGAACCTGGTTATATTCATTTAGCAGCTAGCGAGCTCGTGCGACGGCTTCATTCCTTCATGTCCATGAACGAACTGAGACAGAAATGGGCTCTAGTGACTATCGCTACAGGCACAGAAGAGGTTCTTCAGGATCATCTGACCAGTTCAACTTCAGTAATGATAGCAACCTCTTCTGACAATCTTTTATCTCAGTTTTGCAACCACTGTGACACTCCTGATCACTCATCTATCCGACGTGCGCTGGGTATTCTTCGTAAAGGCATTCCAAAAGCCTTTTGTGGTTCTCCTTGGACCGGTACACGTCGCTTCGTCTTACGAACTGCATATCAACCTTCTCAGGTTTCCTTCTCTCTTTAAGTCACATTACTTTTTTCTTTTTATCATCAAAGAAAAATTAACAGGTAAGATATGTGAAATTATTAAAGAAGAACGGAATAAGTGCTCAGTTTCTGCTCAGAGTTTCATTCGGCATCAGACACCCGTATATATGCTCCGTATAGTCGCTGGTCCACTCTCCAGCACTCAGCATTGTCAAACGCTTGCACTTGCTGTCTCAGCGCTTTCCGCCTTCGCATTAGACTGCTCCCCCTGCTGTGGTCGCAGAAATAGCAGAAACTGAGCTGTTGTAGTCAAAGACAGTTTCCGCGGTTAAGTGGCCCGCGAAATGCTTCCGCGCATTTGGCATCGTTGTCCGCATTCTGCCCAGGAGTATATACGCACTTTCGTCACTTTTGCGAAACAGGTTAATAAAAAAGCTAGAGACCGCCTGATTATTTGCAGCCATCGCCAACGCAAATGTGCTTTCAACTCTGCATGAAAACGACTTGTAATGGGGCGTTGCAAGCTTATATAGCGTTACCTGGAGCGTCGTAGGGTGAATTTCATATGCTCTTGCCGGGGATGGTTGCACGTCGAATCCTGCTGGTTGGGCTTGCCGACGTCGACAAACAACGTCCAGGGCGCAGCCTCACTGCTGAGGTGGGTCTCGATTTAGAGTCGTTCAAGGTTTTTTTTCGCCTTCCTTTTTTCCCTAATAGGGTTACTTTGTGGCCACTGGCTCATGATTGAACACACGCTACCTGCAACACTTGGTTGCGGAATCGTCTTTAATATTGTTGCAAACAGCCGGGGCGATATGAAGAGGCGTGATAAATAGCTCTCCTAGGTGCCTTCGCCTACGCATACAGTGGATGCTGGTGAATCATTCCTGAGTGAAAAAACTAAGAACGTAGAAAACGCTCAAAGGCCTCCGGCTACTTCTAGGTTTTTTATTCTGGGAAAATTGTGAACATTCTTTGCTTACCACAAGTCAAGGTGGCAGTTCTCTTAAATTGGTTTGTCCCCCGAATAACTCGTCGTACACCAGGTTCAAATGAAGTACGCAGCCACGCCCTTCGCGGTTCAGGGATACCTATTCTCTACTGATTTGTTTGAGTTCCACAAGTTCATGTTATAGGGTTCCTCTACTCGACAAAATTCAACATAAATTGTAAAAATCTCCAGAGCCGAATTTCGCGCATTTCCGGTCATATTTACTATCCTTGCACTGTATCAATATCCTTCGTCCAGCAGCTCTGTTTCAGGACCGCGTTGCCACTGCTTGGAGTCGGTGTCAACGAAGAAGTACCGCAAGATATTAGCGAAATGGCGTGAAGTTTTCGTTCATGTACAAGTAGGTTTTTGTGTCATGTGTCATGCGCCACGCACTCCACTTCCATTCAGAATCGTGGTGGCTTATTATGCGATGTGGCCTACACAATGAATTGCGGCAACCGGCCGATGTCTAAGTCAGTATCTATCCTTCCTGACAAATCTGATACCAATTCGCCGTCCCCGAAGAATAGGAGGGTTGGCTGGCCTGAGAGGGAGCCGTTCCAGGAATTGATTTCCGACACGCGTGCGTCGTAAGCGTGCCACTTAGCCACTACACCATCTCAGAATCAATACCAGATAGGCGTCAAAATTGCACCAGTGAGATGGGGGATCCTTTGGTGACCTACCGCTAAATTCCTGGAAGGTAGAATCGACCAAACTCGACCTTCTCCTATTCTTGGCATTGATGCATCTTCAGAAAAGTGTATAGGTTAAGCCTTCCTCAGAGGAAGATTTTTATTTGGCTGACCAACTTGACCTGAGATGTAGTCCTGGTCCCTCCAAAGGATAGGACATGTGGCGGAGCGCACGTCTCTCTGCTTTCCAAAAACACTTACAGAACTGCTTCGTTTTGCCTTGCTGATTTGCAGCCGCTAGGCTCACGAAGGATCCGATTGTTATGCAAACCGTATTTACTTGATAATAACTTTTCAGAATGAGTTCAACAGCCTAAACCACACAACGTTCGGAGTGCTGGCGATCCCTCGACTTCCAATTCATTCTAGGAACCCGGAATCTCTGTTAGTGCCAGGAAAAACGGTGCTGAACAGGTACTGAGAATGTCTTGGGCGCTTGAGGGAGGCCTTTTGTTTGCGGTCTTTACTTTCTCTCAGAAGTTCGAACATATAATAGACGCTTAATCCAGAGCTCTGAACGCTAACCGTTGTTTCATTGCTGTTCGCCGCCGTAACGCGCCTCATGGATGGTCATTGTAGAATAATAAATAAATGAATAAGGAGCGAGTCCTAGCCGGTAATCGTGGCCACAAGTCGTCGAGGGCAAAAGCGTTTAATAGGCATGGGAGCAAATCCTTGTCAAATAAAATTTCTTCAGAAAAGGACATACTTATGCGGCGAAATGGATGTGGAACCGACTTATAAGTGGTCCGAGCTTCAACTTTTCGAGCTCTATCTTTTCTCAGGACGCTTACTACTGCCCTTCTGTGGTGAGTCTTACCGAAACTAATGAATCATGCCGTTGTTATGAGGTTGACGAATACAGCACTACGTTAGGTTACCTTTTCTTCAGTTTCTGCCATTACAGGGTTGCCCTTATTTTCGAACTGTACAAAACCTTGAACGGTGCAGCGTAATTTCCGAATCAGAATATCAGCGAATACATGCGACGACACGAAGTCCGCGAAACGGAACTACTAAGGTAAGGATCCTGTCGATGCTTCGATTCAGTCACGGATAAGTCATCTCTTTAACACGTTGACGACGAGCCATTTTTCCCATGACTTGCGCCTGGGACGGCACATTTTTCTACACTGAAACTTAGTAATTTCCAAATAAATGAATTACTACGACCAAAATGTATCGAGAAATGCAAGAGACGAGTATAGCAATCTCGAATCTTTGACACAATTTAGCTCTTATTGCTCCAATCTTCCAAAATCAGGCCATTTTTTTTACCAAATTCTTCCTCTGGAGACAGAATTGACTGAAAATTTGTCTCCCGGGGTGGTTTGATCTCCTAAAGAACAATATCGCATCCCTCGACCCGAAAATGTTTGTTCTTGAACTAATTTTATGAAAAGAAAGTGAAACAATCGCGCAGATCTTGAGTTATATAATAACTGTGGGACAG